GCAAATGCATGGAATTACAAAATGCAGCAGGAAGCCAATTTATGGCAACCCTCGAACCAAAAGGCACCAAAGGAGCTGCCCATCTCCTTCGCCGACCTGTCACTTCTAAATAGTCCTGCAGAGCAAATGGATCTCAGCTCAACTCTCCAATCCAGCCTGTAAGCCCAACCCTACCTTGACCTTAATTATAACCTGCAGAATAATCTGTCTAGAGAACTAAAGCCATAAACAGATGACAGAGGAGGATAACTTCAAATCTCCCCACGGTTCCAGAATTACCGGTTATGCATCCGTCACCATCTAATGCTGCAAGTTGTAAACTAAGATCTTGATGCAAGTATTTGCCATTTAAGAAAGATTTTTTCCCTCCTTCTGGTGATTAAAAAAACCCCAACAATTCACTACTAGTATTACATGACCTCTGAGGCTCTAAAAAGTTTATTGGAAAATCTGTGAACCACGCATGGGGACCTTCCTGACTCCGTTGGCGCATCAGTGAACAAAAAGATGGAAAACAACTGGAATTTTGAAATAAAGCCACAGCAAATGAACAGTAATCTACATGGTATTTATTGTAGATAGAGCGAATTATAAAAGCCATTACAGCCCACTATTTATTTAAATACTTTTTCTAAACCATTTCAAATTGTAGCAGCAGATCAGAACTGCAGTTTGACTTTTGCACATTTCCTGGTTTGATTACATAAATATTTATATCATGAAAAAAAAACCCCTTACGCTCCCCACTGAAACCTTCTACCCAGCAGGAAACCACTTGCAAACGACTGAGGACGAGAAATATTTAGGGAGGTTTGGGTGAGTCCAGGTTTTCCCCTGCAGTGTTAAGGGCAGCGGTGGCTTCAGACCCTCCTGGGGTGCACTGGAGCTCATTACATTTGTTTAAAAGAGAGCAAGCCAATGTTAATTAACACTAACATATATTCTGGCTTTTTCTGCCACAGAAACCCACCTATTTTGCAAGACAGGGATAAAAATGCAACAAAATAAGACGACCTCGAAGGAGGTGAAGATCAGCCCCAGGCTGCTGATGGGAAGAGGGATCACCCACGTACGGGGGCGATGCCGGCACTGACACCCTTCGCTAACAGCCCAGCTGCCTCGTGGCCCAGACCTGTGCAACCTGCAGCACTGCTCACGGGGTTTGCTGAACACCTGAAAAGTCCCTCGGCCATGGCTGCTCCCTGCGGCAAACCCTGCCCCAGCTTTTCCTCCGGAGGATGGAACCCAGCTCCTCTCAATGGAGCCAGCAGTGCCACGGAGAGCCGGTCAGCCGAAACCTTGGCGGGGCTCTGCACCGTCTTACCCAGCACCGTCTCGCCCGCCGCTCCTCACCCACCTCTCAGCTCGCCAGCAGCTCGCTCCAGTTGGTGCAGGGTTTGAGGAAGATGAGGGACTGGTGGTGCTGGAGGAAGATCAGACACCCTGAGACATCAGCTGGGCGTGCTGGCTGCTAACGGGGTGTTCGCCTTCCCATTCAGTGCCCAGTCCTAGTATGGTTAGGAAAGTGCCTTCACAAGCACCCCGTTGCAGCAGTGAGCAAGACCAGAGTGGCTTCTCCATGGGAAACGTGGCCCAGGGCCAACCAAGTCCCTGGAGGTGTTCAAAAAACGTTCAGATGTGGTGCTTCAAGACATGGTTTAGCGGGCATGGTGGCATCAGGTACACGGTTGGACTTGATGATCTTTGAGGTCTCTTCCAACCATAATGATTCTATGATTCTAAGTGACCGAAAGGGGCTGGAAATGTGGGCTGAGGTGCAGCAGTGAGCGCAGGGACCACCTGCACGCTCACGCATGCTCGCTTACACGCTGCGGGCTCTGACCTGACTCTGAAACACTGACTGGGAGAGGAGAGAACTTCCTGCACTTCTCTTTCCCATCCCAGCTGGAAACCAACACGGCTTCTCCCTTCCTGCCCTCAGTTTATCCCTCCCAGCAGCAGCAGGTTGATGTATCCATGAAAACCCAGGGCTGGAAGGGATCTCCAGGAACATCACCTCATCTAGGACTGCTTTTCTACCCCTGAAAGATGCTCATCACATCTCTCCGTAACAGCCACCAGCGGACGGCTGGCAGGAGCTCCTCCTCCCAGCGGCAAACCCAAGGTGGTCCTGACACCAGGCAAGGACCCTCAAGCATCTTGCAGTCTGTTCACACCAGGATGGACCGCGGCGTTCTCCTCACAGTGTGATTTGGTCTGTACTCGCCTTGTGAGCGTAGTCCACGTCCTTTTCAGATGAATCACTCTCCAGCTGCTGCTGACAACCTTGAGCCAACAGAGAAACCTTGTTGGTTCTTTTTTTTTTCCCCTGGTTGTTTCTGGCCAAGCAGTGACTCAGCTGTCAGAGGTGAATAACTCTTCACGCTTTATCTGAACACTCATTAACCATCCAGAGCCATAAAAAGCAATTTCTTCAGGGCTGTCTCTCCGCAAGGCTGGATTTTAAAGCAAGAGGGCTGGCCTGAGATTTACTGGGAGTATTCCTAAAGACACTCAATAAAAACAGATCTCCAGAGCACGGAAACCTTGCATGGTTCTGGGTTGTATGGCAGAGGGTTTTATCAACAGTGGGTGAAGGTCTAGGCAGAAAAGAAAGGCAGATCCTACCTGCAGCACTTAGCAAAGCCTACAGCCACTGCATGGGAACCCTTAACGACAAAAAGCTTCTACCCCAGGCATTTGCCTGACTCCTACTCCTGCCCCAGGACCTGCTTGTTTTTCATTTCTCTTCTTTTTCTCCTTCATCTTTCTCCAAAATCTCAGCAGCAAGGATTTCTTCATCTTTCTGTGCCGCAGAAATCACACGAATGGTGACTAAACTATCAGAAGATTTCGAGAATATTTCTTCTCCCAGGTGGGCGCATGCTTTGTGGGAGGTGACAGGCGATCTCTGGTGCACTGGTGATTTCGGTGGGATTGGACTGAAGCTGGAACCCTGCGATCCAAAAACAAAAAGGTAAAAATCAACCTTAGCAGACCCTTGTCCACCACCCCCAACCACAGCATCTGCGCTGTGCAAGCCAGGCGGGTGTTTCACAGAGTTTCACTGCACCGGATCTCATCACCGGGATGTCAGCTTGCTGCCAAAGAGGACCCCTGTGAGAAGGGCAGCTGGGTTATACCCTGCATCTTGAGAGAGGTGAACAGAGATGGGTACGCCGAAGCACTCTCATGCCTCCTGCACTAGCTCTCGTTTTGCTCCTGAAGCACCGGGAGGGGCTGATCTTGGCAAAAGTTTGGCAGAAATGGTGTCTTGAGGGAGCAGCCCCGGACTGCCCTGTCCTAAGGCCTCCTTTAGAGAGGGACCTCAGAAACCTCACCTAGGGACGTGCCATGGAGAGGGACGTCCTGCTGACCCCGTTAGCGGGGTTAGCTCCTAATACGTGCACCCTCCAACGCTGGGTCTTGTTGCCACTACTGTACGGAGCTCGCGGCGCCACTGTTCACTGCTGCTTTTAACTGGGTGTTGGTTAGTGTTAAGCACCACATTGTGCGAAGCCTCGTCATGCTTCTGTGAAGGACTGCCGAGACACAGTAATGCTCAGCGTCTCCCTGGATATTCACCCAGCCTCAAGGCCACCCCACGCTCCCAATCAGCTGCTCTTTCATTCACCTCCCTTGACGTGTTCAGAGGTGACAGTCTGCAAAAGTCCATGCTGGAAAGAGTAACAACAAGGTCTGCATGGAGACACGATCTTATTTTTTTTTTACGAGCTTAGCAAAGACACTGGGAAGAAGAAACAAAAAACAAACAAAAAAAAAAGGAGAGCAGGGCCATTTTCTTGTTCAGTCGCTCAGGACAAAAAAGCAAGGGCGATTTCGCTGCAGCTCACGGAGAGCGAGCCGGATGGCATGCCTGCTGCTGCGGGTCTCTGCCCCGACCACGCTGGGAAAGCTTTGCAAATATTGACTGGTCTGGGGATGCTGGATGCCAGCATCACTCTCCGTCCTGCCAGCGCATCGATTAATTATGAGTGGCTCTGTCTCGGTGGCACGGAAGAGATGTTTGTCTGTGGCTATAGTCGGGCTAGAAATTAGACTCAGGCTTAGCATAGCTGGGCAAAAAGTTAATGTATTTCCCTTTTGTGTTGCAAAACAAAGCCCTGTGGGACAGTGACATTCTCCCAAGGCCATGTATAAGGTGCTGGACAACCCCTTCCCATCTGCCTACGCTAAGTCAGATCCCAGTGACCTGAGCTTACCCTTTTATAGAATCATAGAATCACAGAATCATTTGGGCTGGAAGGGACCTTTAGAGGTCATCTAGTCCAACCCCCCTGCGGTGAGAAGGGACATCTCCAACTAGATCAGGTTGCTCAGAGCCCCATCCAGCCTGACCTTGAATGCCTCCAAGGACGGGGCTTCCACCACCTCTCTGGGCAACCTGTTCCAGTGCTTCACCACCCACATTGTAAAAATGTTTTTCCTTATGTCTAGTCTAAATCTACCCTCTTTCAGTTTAAAACCATTACCCCTTGTTCTCTCACAGCAGACTCTGCTAAAAAGTCTGTCCCCATCTCTCCTATAGGCCCCCTTCGGGTATTGGAAGGCCGCCATGAGGTCACCTCGAAGCCTTCTCTTCTCCAGGCTGAACAACCCCAACTCTCTCAGCCTGTCCTCATAGGAGAGGTGCTCCAGCCCTCGGATCATTTTCGTTGCCCTCCTCTGGACCTTCTCCAACAGGTCCTTGTCTCTCCTGTGCTGAGGGCTCCAGAGCTGGATGCAATACTCCAGCTGGGGTCTCACCAGAGCGGAGCAGAGGGGCAGAATTACCTCCCTCGACCTGCTGGCCACACTTCTCTTGATGCAGCCCAGGATGCGGTTGGCTTTCTGGGCTGCGATTGGCCATTGGTGCCTTATGTCTAGCCTGTCATCCACCAAGGCACCTTAATGATATTTAGTCTCTGGAGCCGGTGCGGGAGAGCAGTAACTTGACGTCTAATGAAGCAAAGCCAAATTGCCATCCTCCCCACGCTGACCTGCGGCGTCTGCATTCCCTTCAGCTCCTTCAGCCTCCACCGGAGCTGTGCCAGTGGCCCTTTGCCCCCCAGCCTCCCCGTGGCAGCCAGGGCAGCCTGGAAAAGCTTTGGAGTGCCAGCTTTCGGAGGGATGATCAGTGGATCTCCGGGGGCTCCTTTCTCATCTTTGGGTTTATTGTTGTTTTTCAGCATTTTCCTACAGCAAGGAAAAAGGAGAGACAGTTTCAGTGTGGGAATGTGTTCTATGGATTTTATAATGCAGAAAAATCCAACTTTAAAAGGACAGGGATTTTTTTACACCTTAGGAAGGACAGAATAACAAATCTAAGTAATGCTAAAAACCTAAGGTGAATATTTTAATAGATTTTTTTAAACGAATGCACTTTGGCCATGATCATTCCCGAGTTGCACCCGCTTTTAGCGGTGGAGCTTTGCAGCACCTCCAGCCTCCCCAGCCCACGGCGAGGGACGGGTGCCCTCTGCCGAAGTGCGGCAGCTCCAGCCCGGCTCTCCTCCGGGTACGTCTGCCTAGCGCCTGGCACCTGCAGCAGGAGCTTTCCCAGGGCTTTGCACAGACAGAAATCTCCTCTGTCATTCTGAAACCCACACTCTGCTTTTTTTCAAAACCCCACAGGCTAGAAAGCAGCAGCCCGACACGTACTTAGCCTTCTTACGCAGCAGCTTCTGAGACTCCGGATAATGCACCAAAATCTCATTCAAGTCCTTCTTATCCAAAATGAAAAGGTTAGCGAAGCCATGAGCGATGACGTTTGCTGTTCGGCGATTTCCCCCTCCTGCCGCCAGCAAGCTGAGAGAGACACGGCGAGACATCAACGCCCTCATTCACAGGCTCAGCAGAACCTAAAATCTCTGTTTTCAGGTCTCCCCCTCTCTCTTTCAGGGGACTCAGAGTTTAATTTTCATCCCCGTGAAATATTCCAAGCCCAATTTTTAAAGAACGATGGTAAAGGTTGGCATGGAGCACTATATAAAAAATTATTTGCCTGTTTGAAGGTTTAAATATTGCACTTTACACCAGTCTAGCATCTGCTGGGCTGTAGGGAGGCAAACTCCATCACTGTTACGAATTGGTACAGGACTGTACATGCCCATGAAATGGGCAGATCAATGGCTGGGGGGCTATTTTAGTGAAACTCCTTTTCTTACTCGTTTTTCCATCCCTCCGTATACCTCTGCTTACTGTCACTAGCTTCCCAGGTAGCAAACAGCATGATGACAAAAATAGTGGAAAAGCTCCAAGAAAAAAAGCTGTAATTTGCCTACCAGACGCTGCTCAGTGTTCGTGGCTCTCAATCACAAAGATTAATTAGGGTCTTGCTGATCTCCCCACTTCCCACCCTCCTTGCCCACAGCCCACGAGCTGTATTTCCCTGGCTCCCTGGAAATGCTTCACTCACCTTATTTCTCCAAACACAGATCCAGCTTTCAGAGTCACCAGCACGGTTTTGCCATCGGGTCCCCCCAGCACCTGCACTTGGCCTGCCTGGATAATGTACATCTCACGGCCGATTTCTCCCTGCAGTGAAGATGGGTGCTGTGCAGGGTGCCCAGAAACAGGGAGACCTTAGGGATGCCCTAAGCAGGTGCCCAGAAACAGGGTGCTCTAAACCGCATCTGGCTGGAAACCCCCATGACCACACTGCCCTCTTCAAACTCTCAAAACACTTTGTCCTGATGGTGCTCACTCCCGGAGCATCCTCATCTGAGCATCCTGAAGGCTCCTCCAGGTTCTTCCCTGCTCTCCTGCTGTTCGTGGCTGCAGCAGAAGAGGTCAGTCTTCACACAAGACCAACTGCAACCGAGGACGTTTTTGCTCTGAATTCCCTCTCTGTGAAGCGGCTCAACTCCACGGTGATGGGCCAAGGCCTGGCTTTCCCTGCTCTGCATTGCTCCTAGTGCCCTGCACAGCCCGGCCGTGACACCTGGGATGGGAGGGCACCCGAGCATCTCATTACCTTCTTACACACGTAGTCATTAGGTAGGTAGACCACCGATCTGAGCCGCTTCAGCATGTCGAAGATCATCTGCCTGTCGCAGCCCTGAGCCAAAACAGAGCCAACAGTGTCATTAGTCTGCACCGGTACGGCAGGCTCGGCCGGCCAGGACCTGCGCTGCAGAGGGTACCTGGAAGAGGGCCACTTTGCTCACGATGTTGTAGTTCACATCGATGGCGATGTCCAGCCTCATCTTGTCCGGCAGCTGCACCAGCAGCTCTGACTCATCTGTGAGACAAAGCAGAAAATTGGCTGTTTCCAGCACTTGATCCCAGAGCATGTCCTTGGCTTGGCAGCGGGAAAGCAGCCCGCATTCTGGTGGCAGAGGGCAGGAGCCAGCATGCCCAGAAGGGGCTTCTCCAGCCTCGGCCCACCCAGCAACCTGTAAGTCTGAAGCCAACGGGTGATGGAGAGCTGCCTGTCACGCTATCCCTGCCCTGACGGCTCTCAGGGACAGACCGGTGAGCACAAGCCAGCACCCTTCTTGGCCAGGAGGGTGGGTGTAAAGGTCCTGCCTGATGGTTTACTGGTAGGGTGAGCTAGCGGGTTTGCTGTTGGACATGCTCTGGCCAGCGGTTGCCAGTCCCTGCCCTCTCCCCAGGGACCGACGGGTGGGATGCTGGGCTCAGTGCGCTATGAGTGATGCCAGGTCACCAAGGTGCTGTGAGCCGGCGGCAGCCTATATACTCTATAGGTGGGCAAACAAGCCCCTATAGTGAAGAGAAAAATAAGCCAGCCCCCGTCCTGAAACTCCGGTGCTATTTGACAGCAACGTTTCAGCTCTGCAAAGCAACCGCAGTAAAACACATGCAGTGCAAGCATTGACCCTCGGAGCAGCTGAATCTCACCTAGCATGCCTTGTGAATGCCACGTGTACTCGTACCACGTTTTCACCCGGTTCTGAACAGTTTTGGGGATTTTGTAGAAGTTCATGTATTTAATGGTACTGTCCATGCAGCTCCGATAGTAAGTTTGCCCTGCGGTAGCAGCGCCAACCACATCTCTCATCTGAATGGGAAAAAGAGGTGGAAGAGATGTTTTAATTGCTGTCACTTATCTATCACGCAGGTCAAGCAGTCTAGAGCACGTATGCTGAGTCCTGACAGCATCTGCCAAATCCTTTTTGTCTTCCGCTGGTGCTGAGCAGGTCCTCACATGGGGAAAACAAACCTAGAGATGCAAACCCCACCGAAACCTTCCCCACCTGAGGTCGGGAACCCCTCGTGACTCCCACTCACCTGCCCTATCATGACGGAGAAAGCAAAGACACCTGTGAAGTAGTTCAGCAGCTGGAAGACGATCTCAAACAGTGTCTTGGGGTCCGGCAGGCCCCCGATGGTGATGAGGGTTTTGACTGCCCAGTAGTAGCAGCGGATGTAGCTGGGAGGAAAAGAGCAGGCGGCTTTGAAGGTGTTTCTGGCGTGAAGGCCTGTTCCAGCCCCCAGTATCGAGCTCACATCTCCTGGCCACAGCAAGCCAGAGCCTGCTGAGAGTAATTATGGGTGACGAAGGGAAAATTAAGGGGCTGTAGACTCCTCACCACACCTGCAGGTGCTCCTGGAGATGCTACAGGAGCAGGAGGATGAGGGACCCTCCAGAAACCTCCGCATGGGAGGCTCAGCTGCCCTGGCTACTCCCGTTTTCTGCTTCTTACAGCTCCACTGCCATAAACCAGCAACGTATTTCCAGCAACAGTTACACTTTTAGAAATAATCAGGGGAGAAAAAGGGTTTGTGAGCAAATTGTTGTCATGGGACTTGGGAGATGTCAAGCGAATTCTTGATTCACTGGTCTTGGGCACTCCCGTGGATGTTATAGTTACACCAGGGGTTAGATACAGATACGTATATCACACAAAATAACTATATAGCAGCAACATTAACATGGGAAGCTGAGTGCTCAAAGGGAAGGCAACACCCACACCACGGCTGCATGGGTGGCAGTCGCTTGTCCCCACCCACACCCACACCTCACGGTAAGTCTTTAACGCACTTGCCCGTGCCTTTTTCCAGGAAACTCTCATTTACTGCATGCTGCTAAATTAGTTAAATGTTACTCAGGATTTTATTTTGCCCGTGTTGTACAACCGCAGGTGTGGGCATTCTCTACGAGGCGGCGTTCAGCTTGTGAGCTAAGCACTCTCCCTGTGCCATCCATCACTGACAACACAACGGACATTTAACACGTGGATCTTGGAAATGCCTTGGCGAGGGGACGGGACGGCCACTGTCCCTGTCTCACACCCTGGGAATGAGGGTGCCGGGCTGGTCCGAGGGGCCCGACACACGGCACCTAGGACATACAGCTTCAAGCCTCCATCCTGACCTGGCAGCAGGTCAACACAAACAGAAACAAGGCTCACACTGCCATCCTGCTCAGCCAGAGAGTATTCCCTTGTTTCCCAGCACCAGGTTCCCAGTTTTTCAGCCTCTTCAACCTGCCATCAACTTCCACCTCAGTCCAACTGCAGCCTCTTTGTCTTGCAGCACCGTATGTTACCGCACATCCCATCCCTCCTGTCCCTGTTGTTCCGCCTGGCCCCACATCTTTTCCTGGCACCTCCAACCCTTTGCTTCAGGGGTTTTTATGAACCCAGCTGCATCCTAACACCTCCCTTCTTGCTCCAGCTCATCACAGCAAGCTGTGCTACGTGAGGATCCAAGCCCTGGCTTGTACCTGTTTCCTTTCCCATCATAGACCCAGGTGGTAGAGCCCAGTCCTTCGTAAGCTGATGCCCAGTAATAGAGGCAGGAGTTCACATGCAAGCTGTACAGTAAGTAGGCGGTGGTCCGAATCACTCTGCCAAAAAAAGAAAAAAGGAGAGAGGAGGAAGGGAGATGATATGGTGTCTACTGGGAGAAACACATCACATTCCCCCTGGCATCACAAGGAGTTTTGAAGTGATGAGCCGAGCGCTGACCATGCAGGTCCTGCCAATGCAGGAGCCACAGAGCACCCGCACATGCAGCCCCGCTGCTCCCTCCCGCAGCTCCAGAAGCGTCAGGAAAAAATCAGTTTATCTGCCGGTGGCTCCTCTTTGCTGCCAGCACCCCCGTCCCCACTGGGTTGGGGAGAGGTGATCCTCCCCACATGGGCGCCAGGACCCCCCACATCCCACCCACATCAGCCAACGCCCACATCAGCCGGTCCAGGGACAGCAGGAAAATAAATAAATCAGAACGCCAGAATGGGTGCACACCAAAGCGAGCCTTCTTCCCCGGTGGCAAAGAGCAACTCCACGCTCCCTCCCTCCCCTCCCTCACCTGTAGATGTACGCCTTGCTCAGGATTGCCTCTAGGCGGTTGTTGAACTCGAAGAAGGCCATGTACTGGGAGGAGAAGGAGAGCAGTGTGCTCCAGCTTCCCGCCGGGAGAGTTACGTCCCCACAAAACCCCACACCCATCCGCTTCCCTGCAGCCCCTCTGCAGCACGGACCGCCACGGAGGGATTTGGCTCCATCTAGAAGCACCCTTCTAGTCAAATGTGAGTGTCTTTTAGGATCGAAGTGTTTGACCAACAGCCCTGCATAGCCTTCGGGACAAGACTTCCCATCCATTTCACAATCCTCCCGCCATCATCGATGAGTCCAGCGAGCCGTAGCTTACCCCAGCCAGCGCACGACTCCTTCACATCCACTACAACTGGTTTTGTAAGCTCCGACTCACCTTCAGACAGCGAGGAAAGCGCAGGAGTGGGTTGACACCGACTTTGAAGTAGAAGAAATCCAGGGGCAGGAGGCACACCACATCCATCTGAAATCCACACAAAGAGAGAAACCTCTGTGGGGACCTGCAGGCGTGGTGGGGGTGGAGCTGCAAGCCACGGTTCAGATTAAAGATTCAGGTTAATAAATAAAATGACATCGAACCTTAAAGCGTTGTGATCGCAGGTAGTTCTCTTTCATGGCCTTTTTATCGGTCTGGTCGGGAATAGGAAGAAGAGAGAGAGGAAGATTGGTCATTGCTTACAGAAAGAAATGTCATGGTCATGCCTGGCTTTCCTCTTCTGTACCTCAACAGGGAAGATGCTCCCTTCGTACCTGGGAAGGGGAGCAGAGCAAGAGGAGCAGAGAAAGACGTGGCCATATGCCATCTTCCCATCCTCTCTCGGGACATCCCGTGCTCATTTTGCATCCCAGAGAAAGCACATCGCAGTGACAGCACCACAAAAGTCAGAGTTTACAGGAGAAACCTCCCTGTCTGACCATTTGCGTGGGTCTTCAGAAGGCTGTACCCTCAAGGCTTTATTTTTCACAGCTTCTTTAATTGGATATGGAAACAAAATCAAGGGCTCTCACTTATCTCAGGCGCGTGATCTATACACTCAGATCGCAATCGCTTTTGGCATATTGCTAATGCATTCTGCCTAGCTGTGCTCCTGAAAATTAAACCCAGAGTTCAGTATGCCGTCTGCTCCCGGTGAGCAGCGTACAGCTGCACCGGGCCCGGTCAGCCTGCACCTCCCTGCACCGCTGGCAGGACCGCCCTGCGGAGCAGCACCCTCCGAGCATCCCTACCCAGGAACGGGACCACCAGGTTTTCCAGATGGGCTAGTATTGACTTTAGGGGAAAAATAATATGCTTGGCAGACAAAAAGACTGCCGGCTTATCTGCTCCATGGCAGGAGAGATGCTTGCAGTCCCCCAGGAGCGGGCACAGCCCTGATGGCCATCGCCATAGTGGGAGAGCTTGGAGACCTTGATTCAGAGCTCAGTGACCAGCACCATCTGTGCCACTCA